CAAGAAAGCGAACGTATTTGTGTGTGCATGTGCGCGTATATGTGCGTGAATGTGGGTGAATGCGAGAGAGAAGAGAGAATGAGCGAGAAAAAAAGTGAAAGTGAGAGAAGGAACGCGGCTGTACCACCACCGTTCGAGTAGAGATTTGAGGAGGATCCGCGATTGCCGCACACTGTCGTACGTTTCATGTTTTAGAAGCGAGATGATCTTCAGACTTTGGCGTTACACGCACACGTCAAAAAGAGAGAAAGAGAGAGAAAGAAGGGAAAGAGAGAAAGAGAAACATGGGAAGAGTTCGTATTGATAGTCATTACTTGAAGCTTGTCTCAAACGAAATACTCAGGCTCGTACTAATAGTTGTCACTTGAAACTTGTCTCACGTGAGATGCTCAGACTTTTATTCAAAGTTGGATCCAAAGTTAACAGTTGAATTATATAATATATGTTGACATTGTATCTGTAATCGCAATTCAATTGAAAGACTTTCATCTAACTCTGAACTCAAATCCAAGTGTCTCATTTAAGAGGACAGTTTCCAGTAACGACTACTGATACGGGCCCCAGATCTAAATTTAAAGTTAAACGTGATTCCGAGTAATTAATTGCTTTTTCAATTAGTTATTGTGATTAATTGACGACTAATATGAGCCAACTCAATTGGAAACCGTTTAATTGATGATTGATTCCAATGAATTCAATTGAGGGCTACTTAATTGACGATAGATATGAGCGAAGGGAATCAAAGATCATTCAATTAACGATTAAACTTAGCAAATTCAATTAAAGGCTGTTTAATTGACGATTAAAATCAGCGAAATTAATTGAAGATCATTTCACTGATAATTAATATAAGCAATTTCGATCAATTCAATCTAAGATTGTTCGGTGACAATTGATACGACCAATGCTTCCACTTCTTAAAGCGAGCCCTATTTAGCGATTTCGTCGGCATCTTCCATGCTGGATACGAATATTATCCGCAAAACCAATTGTTACTTTAAATAATCGAACATTTTTCGACTGAATAGATTGAATTAGCTCGTACTAATCATCAATTAAACGGCCTTTAATGCAATTTACTAATGCCCATTTCTGCGTCAATTAAATCTTAATCTTAAGTTTAAACCCTATTCATACAAAAGCTTAAACTTAGATAAAGGATTATACGACGTTATATATTAATAGAAACGGGCATAAGTTCAATCATTAATTAAACGATTCTCGATTTCCTTCGCTGGTTTAAATCGAGAAAAATTCAATTGATACTCTTACGTTACTAGTCACGACAATATTTCAAATTCAATGTCATACGTTCAAGTGGAGAACTCTGATACTCCATTGAAACTCAGATCTGAGTATCCCGCGCGAGACAAATTTCAGGCAAGAACCATTAGTGCGGGCCTAAGGTAAAAGTCAAGGTGTAAACTACAACCGACTGTCCTCGCGACCGTCGAGATGCTTAAGACTGGTCGCCACTTGCACGTGACGTATATAATACCAATTTCGCTTAATCAAATTCTCTCCTTCTCCGTGTATCTCTGTATCATGTATCTGTAATTATTATTGTCATCCGTCAGGCTATTCAATTGCAACTGGTTGTTCACAATTCAAAGCTGCTTGTACTCGCTCCTTGTTAGCGCTCACATGACAATTGCGCGAAGAGAACGCGCGTCTTCGCTTTCCTCGAGACAGACTTGTCGTACGATTATGCGGCGCTCGTGGTTTCCTTCGACGTTAAAGATGTAAGGGCAATAAACCATTGTACATTTCTCGAGTACACTTGTATTTGAATGTGTAAGTTGCATAAAAAAGACAGATTTTTTAGATATTGCACTGTCATATTTATTATTCTAAGGTAAAGAGACCGATCGGCTCGTGGATCGACCGCGCTCTCGGAATCGCGTGCCCCTGACCGATTTCGATCATGCGGAAAGGAAGAGTGTCTTTCTCGAAGACAATCCTGCTTCATTGGGGAGATTGAACGGCGGCACGCGAACACGGTCGATCACGCGCGCGCGGGCGCCATTATGAATTAATATTATTAATAATAATAAAAAAAAGAAGTAAAGAAGAAAACAAAGAGGCGAAAACCGAACGCATTGTTCTTTCCAATAAGAAAGGAAGCAAGGTTTTTAGTGTTTTCACTACGATTGATAAACGATTCTATTATTATATAATATTATATTAATAACAATATTATTACTGTAATGTTTGTTTTTGGTTATTAAAGTGTGTATATAGCAATATATTCTAGAAATATATAATCGCTCTCGTGCATTTACTTTCATACCAAACCTCCGTTGAAGTTCAATGCAAATTATAAATTAATCGATCATGGAATCGCAATCTTGAACCCGTGAGTCCATCATAAAAAGTGCGTGTTAATTAAATTTCGAATGTATCGAAACGAATAAAGCCTCTTTTCCAATTAGTTGTCCGTAGCGGCTAGATTCGTGCCGCTTGCAGCTGTCAGAAGGTGACAGAATAGAGATATTACTTTTCATCAATGTACTTGTATTTGATATTTATTTAGTTAGACATACTGAGTTTTCCTGTCCTTTATAATAAATATTAGATAAATAGCGCGCGCGCCTATGTTTTGTTCTAGTAAAACAAAAGCCAATGCCTGTGTGGGCACTCATAATACTGTTACATAACTCTCGACCTTCTACTTGTCTTGGTTTTTAAATACGGTTATTTAAACTTCTAATATAATGTTCTTTTTAGGTGGACTGCGTGGACTGGTGCAATAGGTTAGAAAGAAACGAAATATAATTGTCTTATTTAACTTATTGCACCAATATGCATAACTTTAGATAGTTTAGCTAAAAAGAACAGACCTCTAGATTCTCTTGCGCACACCTATATGGATTTGAATATCCCCACTCTATGTCACGTGACCTCTTTAGTTCGGTTGGTGAGACCAAAGATAGAAGCACTGTCCCCTTCCACTGATAGAAAACCGTCCTCTTCTTTCCAAGAAAAGAGTATGATGGTATTCATAGTCCGATTTTATATTTAAGATCATCTTAAGATGTCATGAACCAATCACAGAGCCGTATTCGTATCTTAAGGCATTATTTAAGATGGTCTTGAAATAAGATTCGACTGTGAATATCGGTCTAAGAGTCTCTGTACAAAAACATTCGTAACATGTTAAGTTTACGGATTTCTTTGTGCGTTGACTTAAGTTTAAGTTTACGTACAGGTATGGTCATTATATTGTCAGTACTTAACGTAATGTAACATGTTACGTGCGTTGGCTTTTATGCTTCTCTGCAGTTGTACATGGTGATTGGTATCGTTGTGGTTTGAATCAGAGAGAAGCCTGAGAGCGGTTACCAGTCTAATTTTAGTGGCCAGAGCTAGGCGCTAGAGTCCCTATAAGATAGTCTGGCCCACAGACTTCTATATACTTCTAAACTGCTAACTTGGACTCAGTACATGGCCTCGAAAAGTATGTACAGAAATCTCGCGCATGTGCCTATTTGGTTTTCCGACATTCACAATGTAGCATCTCGTTTTAGGCATTATTGCACTCTGATATAAGTATACAATTGATCAATCACTTATTTTTACAAAATTTTTACTGTAACGTATTTCACTCTAACGTTTTTCACTCTGTACGTACACAAATATATTTAAGCAGGCGGCATCGGACATATTACATTTATATCCCCTCTTCTTCTGGAACACTAGTTTCAGGCATGCGCAGATGCCTTTTTTTCCGTAAGTAATACATATGTTCGGGGTTAATTTTACATAGCACTATATAAGGGAGTTAGCAATCTAGTAGTTATATAGAAGTCTGTGGTCTGGCCAACGTGCGTGTTCTTCCTTATTGGTCGAAACAAGGTTTGGAAAAAACATAGCGGATACAAATTGTTATGGGAAGCGGGATAATTTGAAAAGCAAAATAAGAAAATTATGAACAATTAGTAGTTTTTTATATTAAACTATGAAATGAATAAATAAAAACATAATTTTGTAAACTTGAAACATTATTAATCTGCAGGAAGCGAATACAGTGAAAAGACTTTCTGATAATAGTTCTTGCATCGTAGAACACAACACGTTGGCATTTTGAAATCTGAAAATTTATATTTCGTATTGCACTATTTTACACAATTGCCTTTTCAGATATTGTTCTGAATAAAATGAGGTTACGATGACAATTTATATAATAAATACGACTTTTTTTATAATATCACAATTTTTAATTGAATTAACTTTTTTATTTTACTTTGGAAACCACATACAGAATAATTTTACTTACTTCTATTAACAATTTATAGTCAAACTGACACTGATATTTATCGCGTTACGAGATAACAAGTTGCGTTCATATATATACGGCCGCCATAGGTCTGTTCTTTGTAGCTGCATTAGTTGAACTAGTGCAATAAGTAAGAGTGAGAAAACGTATATTTGTCTCACTTTAATATATTGCAGCAGTTGAGCAATGCAACTACAAAAAATAGGCCTCATATTTTTCCAAAACTAGTGGAATGGCCAGACTCTAGGTTTGTTCTTTTCAACTGAACTAGTGCTGCACTGGAACTGCACTGGTTCGGAACTGGAACTGGCGAGTACAGCAAAAGTTCATAGGTGCAGACATACCAAATAGAATGGAAAAGAACGCCATAGTGCAGGAAACAACATGGCGCAACACATAATTTTAGATGCAAATAATTCTTTAGATGAAGAATTTACTTGCGTTAATGTATGTATCTTAATTGCACGCAGAACCTATCTGGGATATTGCCACCTTTATTCCTTTTAATTTCTGCAATATTCATCTCTTCCATTTTCATAGATTTGGGCCCTTATTCTTGAAATAGTTGCGTATACGTAAGTTTTACTGCGCAGCTATTTTATGATATGATTAAATCTGCGCAGTAAAACTTACGCATACGCAACTATTTTAAGAATAAGCACTCTGTTGCACTAAGTTCTGCTGCACCATTGGAAAGAACAGTAACCTCTGACGTCACTTCTGCTAGAAAGACGCCTCAGTGTACACTTCTTAAATTAGTGCAAGAAGTTGAGCTGGAAAGAACAAATCTTCTATCTTATAGGGACTCTAGCGCTTAGCTCTAGCCATTGAAATCAGACTGGTGCCTCTCTCATACTTCTCTCTGTTTAAACACGTGCGAAGTTCGTAATAAATATGTCTAAAAATAAAGTAGAATCAGAAAATGAAATTGAAGAGAAATCGAAAAATTTCCATGAATTAGAGCTAGATGACAGGATATTAAAGGTAAAGTTGCATTATTAAATTTCAATAATATTAGGTTAACTTTAATGATAGGTTAGATTTGTTTCAAATACTATGTATACTCTATATATTATCTGAATAGTTATATGTTTAATTTGTTAATTGTTCTATAATTTTTTGGAGTTAAATAATATGTGTATATTTTTCTTTATGTCTTAAATATAATCAATCGATGTTGAAGGATAATAGATTTCTGTAGAATCTTCCAGAATAGATGTAATTTACTTATTTATCTATTTCAACTTATTATTTGTACAGGCTATTGCAAAACTAGGCTGGTTAGAGGCTACGTTAATACAGGAAAAAGCAATACCGTTATTGCTGGAAGGAAAGGATGTCTTAATCAGAGCTCGTACAGGATCTGGAAAGACTGGTGCATTTACTATACCACTTATTCAGAAAATATTAGTGAACAAACATAATCAGGAAAAACAGGAGATTAAAAGTGTAATTGTCGCACCTAGTAAAGAATTATGCAAGCAGATTCAAGAAGTAATAGTCAACCTAACTGTAAAATGTAGCAGGGAGGTTAGGATAGTCGATATCAGTCCTCAGACAACCTTAAATGCACAAAAACCATTATTGAGTGAAATGCCAGATATTGTTGTGGCTACACCTGGTCGCTTGTTGCAACATTTAAAAGCAAAAAACTTGGTTTTGAAACACAGCTTGGAAACATTAATTATTGATGAAGCTGACCTGGTATGTACTTATCTTACTTATCTAATATCATCATAATACTGAATTCTTCTTTGTGTATAATAATGTCTTAAAGATATTTACATAATAATATTCTCAATTGGCATTGATTATTTCAGATATTTTCATTTGGTTATGAAGATGACATGAGAGCTGTGTTGGCTTACTTACCAACGGCTTATCAAGCGGTCTTAGCATCTGCTACATTGTCTGAGGACGTTCAAACTCTGAAAAAATTAGTTCTACATAATCCTGCCATACTAAAGCTGGAAGAACCACCTTTGGCTCCACCCACTCAATTGACACATTATACTCTAGCTGCTGAGGAAAATGACAAAGCAGCTATTTTATATGCTTTGTTGAAATTGAATTTAATCAGGTAACAACTTATATTAAATATATCTTTTAAATATATTCAATAAGGTTTTATTGCTACTTTTTCCAATGTAAATCAGCTTTTATACAAGAAAACCACGAGGAGAGCTGCGGGGTTTTCTGAATAAAAAGCATTTGTCAAAAACTGTAATTGTATCTCAAAAACTACATTCTCTGAAACTACAATAAAAAAATTGTAAATTTACTTTTAACAGTCGATCCTCTATTAATCTTTCTAATTTTTTGCAGAGGAAAATCCATAATATTCGTGAATACAGTAGATAGATGTTACAAATTGAAGCTGTTCCTGGAACAATTCGGTATACCCACTTGCGTCTTAAATTCCGAGTTACCAGCTAGTTCGAGATGCAGAGCAGTGACGCAGTTCAATAGTGGCACCTACGATATCATAATAGCGTCAGACGAAAAAGCATTAGAAGAGGTAAAACAAGAAAAGGAAAAAGAGAAACATTATATAAATTTATAGGAAAGCACATACACGTAATCATTTTTGTTCCTTATAGCCGCATGTGATAAGCAAGAAAAAGAGCAAGCGGAAAAAGGACAAGGAATCAGGTGTAGCGCGTGGTATCGACTTCCAATTTGTATCTAACGTCATTAACTTTGACTTCCCGTTGGACGTGGACTCTTACATACACAGAGCAGGGCGCACCGCCCGCGGCAAGAATCAGGGAACCGCCCTTAGCTTCGTGGCGATTAGGGAAAGATCTTTGATGGACAACGTAGAAGAGCAACTAAAGCACACCTACAATCGTGACAGTCTATTTAAAACTTATCAATTCAAACTGGAGGAAGTAGAAGGCTTTCGGTATTTTCTTTCTTCTAATTCATCGCGTTAATATTACGCGACTACGAATCGCAGATTATTAATTAATCATTGCAATTCCAGTTATCGCGCGAAGGATGCTTGGAAAGCGGTCACGAGGATTGCTGTTCGGGAAGCACGGTTGAAGGAAATCAAGCAGGAAGTCATGAACTGCCAAAAGCTGAAGAGTTATTTCGAGGATAATCCGCGCGACCTGCAGTCACTGCGCCAAGACAAAGCGTTGCATACCGTCAAGCTGCAGTCGCATCTAAAGGACGTACCCGAATATCTAGTGCCACCTACCTTGAAAAGACTCATGGGAATCGGCAGAAGAAAGAGGAAATTCGACAGAGATGCCGCGGCGTCGGGAGCAACAGCCGCCAAGTCGAGGTATCGAGCCCGCGCCTCGAATCCGTTGGTCAGTTTGCAGATTCCGGCAAAGAGCAAATGATTCTTTTTGTATCTCGATTCGACTTAATTTGGCTGTTGTAGAGGATTTTTCAAACAGGACTGTTCACTTCACTTCTCGTTTTTGTCCTTATCTTTATTATATTATTAATAAAATTAATTCAACCAGTAACTGCTGCGCGCACATTTTTTTATCGCAAGTCCATCTGCCTACAATATCTTATAAAATTGTTACATATTGTATATATATATATCTTGTTTGTATATGTTTGTAAAATAGAGTTATACCGAAAAATTGCGAGTGTTTGAATATATTTTCAACAGTACTAACATAACTAGTTCCAATTTAGCATGCTGTTTGATCACTTCTTAACACTTTCTTTTGGTTTGTATGTTTTCCGTACGATGTCATTGAGGCCCTCTTTGTTTCGCGCGAGTTCGATAGCGTAAAACTGTATCCTGGTCGTAAGAATGCTGTTCTCCTCCGAGTATTCCCCAGTACAATCTGCTCTCATTAATGTACCAAAACTATAGTCTTCTACAATGTCTTTAAATTGCTGGCAGAAAGGTCTCCATTTCTCTTTCTGCTCATGAGATTTTAGTTCCTCTTCGTTTATTTTATCTACCTTCATGTCAGGGAAGGTTTCCCGGAATGTTTTGTAGATCATGTCGTCATGAGGTGTAAGCCGTAAGAGTTTTGGATCAACTGAACACAGGATCTAAAACATAACATTCCATTCTTTTCTCTTGCTTCTTACTTTATATCGTTCATACTTATTCTCATATGTTTTATCAGAGTTTGGAGTTTACTTATTTAGATATTATCCATTAATTATATACTTTATTTTTATTTAAACAATTCATGCAGATGTAGTCTTGAAATCTACAGCGTAAGCCTAGTTTTATATAATGCTTCCATATATTTTGTATTTGACTTACATTGAAATAAACCTCAGCATGCTCCATAGCTTTCATCGCCCATATTCTCTCGACACTGGGCTGAAAAATGAATAAAATTAAAGTACAAGATGTATGCATATTTCCTTACATATAAATTTTAAACAAGTAATCATTTTTTTCTATGTGACACAACAATATAACAATATAAATACTACTTGTGTGCATTTCACCTACGTCATTGACAAACTCTTCAGCGGGTCTCGACAGTACATCGAGACCAGGATGCTGCTGATGCTAGAATAATAATGTGTTAGGTTATAAACACTTTCTCGTAAGATTTTCGACGAAGAGGGGAGAATAAAATTCGCATACCATACTTATGTCCGTCATCGTTTCGCCGATTATTTCAATAATTATTACGAAGATACAAGTCTTCGTTGAGGAACGTGTAAACACGATATTCGAGGAATAATATGCTCGCACAAGGTAACCACACGATATAAGAGCTAAGACATGTGTAAAATATGTTTCAAGCCTGATTTCTCACGCAGGCGCTTTAAACGCGTCATAGCGAAGCGCTTAGTTTGAGCGTAACGCTTCTGAAATTCTCTCTTAACTTTCGAATTCGATTTCTTCTTTGATTTTTGAAAGCTTTTATATTAAAATTCTCCTTTTCTTTTCTAAACTCGAACTTCTGAGTGTAAATCTGCTAATTTAAACGTTCAGATTGGAATCTCAAATACGCGATACATCTGTCCTTTTCCCTTGAGGAGCGCGATTATCGATACATAAAAAACATTCGATGTTCATGAATGTCTACCAGAAAGAGTTTGTCATGGAAGATTCGAGCAAAGGATCGTATTCAAGAGTACTGCACACTTCAACGACGCGATAAAGTAACGCGACAGATTTTCACGAAATTTTTTCTTTTTTCTTGGTACAACATAAGGCCATCTCTTTCTGCATCTGCGCGTGACACTTCAGCACTCACGTAAGTACGCAATTTTTCTGTAAGCAAAGAATCACCGATGAAATATTATCGCAATGATATTCAGCAGCCTATATGAAAGCTTATGGTAATTTGAAAAATTATAAACTTACATTCTGGAAACACACACTAGAAGAAGGTTAAACATTTTTTGATAAGTTAATATTTAACTTTAAATTCAGAGTTTCAAGTTGAATAGATCTGAAAGATCTATGATGTCTAATAAGTAATAAAATAGCGGATATTATTGACTGTATTCAGCAGGGAAAACTGTTGTAAAATTTATGAATCTGACTGGTATATACTTTTAATCTAGGCTGAAAAGTATATATCAATCATAGATTCATAAATTCTATACAGTTGCAAAACTGTATTTTTTGTTGTGAGCGTAGCCATTGTTAAACTAATTTCCTTTACTCATGTTAATTGTCAATTGGTTTTTAGACAATTGATCAACGGTCTTTGGTTGAATTCCTTGAAGTCAATTGTCTGATATTAAAAGTCAATTAGCTGATATTAATTGTCGTAACTGAATAAGATAATGAATTTTTAAAAAGTAATTAATTATTCAGAATTTTGGTCTGCGATTCTAGAAGAAAAATATCTTGCACAAGCGTCACATAAGAACAAATATCGATTGAACGAGTCACAGCGAAGTGCTCAGTTTAAACGTGAGACTTTTGAAATTTTTCCTTGCTCTCAGATTCGATTTCTTCTGAGATTCTAGGGGCATCTAAGCTCTCCTCTTCTCATCAAATGCCCAAACTCGAGCTTCCATTTGACTTCTTCGCTTTGCTCAACGCGTGCGCGCGATTTTGCACATTCGTGCAACCCGAGTTAGATTTTAATTTAGTCCCTGTGCACGTCTGACGTTTAAAAACGCCGTGCTTACGTGCTTCACAATGGCCTCGCGACGGAATGTAAATGCAACGACGCGCACAGGTTGCGTAAATCAGCGCGCGCGTCGCAACAAAGCGCATAATTATTAACTAATTACGACCAGCGCTCAGCATCTTCTTAGGTAACAACGAAACAATTCTCTTTTCCGTCTTGTTCCTTATCTGCACTCATGATCTCACCAACAAGAGACATCACGTATCTTCCCAATCGGCTCTCTCGCTCTTGTAAACATCAGGATAGCGCGGTGAGGATGCGTTATTCGAGATTTATCATTGAACAACGTTATTCGCTATATTCCATTCATTGGAACGGAAGCTACAATGAGCTACGATGAGCAAGCACCTCCTCAGCAGCCGAGTGATGGAGGTTCCGCTAGTCACGTTCGCGATTCGCTCGCGATCGGTTGGTTTTAGCGGAGCGACGAGAGCCTGGTGATTCTCTCGCTTGCTCGTTCGTTTGTCTTCCCTGGAGAAGTTCCGCGTCCTTATCGTCTTGCGAATCGACCGACACGGAAATACACTTCGGCGAGTACAACGGTGTATACACACACATACACACGCGTCTCGTAATATCACTTGGCAAGCTTATCTTAAGCTTGAGAAACGCGCGGCTGTTATGAGTCGCGCTCACCGTTATCTACTTGAAATTTTAGTAGAAAAGTTTCCGCGCGAAAAGTGTCCATTAGCTATCAATTAGTCTTTATCTTGTCGTAATGGGAAACGGACAGTTTAGAAGCGGACAGCCAAGAACTTACCCAAGAAATGGGCCTCGATGGGTTCCGGTGAGCGACAACAGGATGTAAGTCTTCTTGTTTATTCGCGTTTATTTCCTTCCTAGAAGCATAGCCTTCTCAGAACCGTCTTAAAGGAACGTCCAAGTGGATGACGGATCAATAATGTGAAGGCGATCGTCGATTATGTCATTCGGTTGTAAAGTTAGTAAAGATTCATTTTTGTAAATGTTTTTTTTAATTTTCTTGAGAGGAATCAACAAAATCTAAGAATAATCGACTGTGGTTGGTCAATTTGCTTACGATTTGTGATACGCTACGGTACGCTTGTTTAATATATTTATTATATTTGAAAGTGTTGTCACACACAGTACACACACACACAAAGTTTCTGATGATGTTCAAATTTTCAAGTAGGTTTCGCAAGTTTGACGCTATGTGGCGCATTATGTCTTTAAAATTGGTGAAAAGTGACGTCTCAGGTCGTTCCCATGGACGTTGGAGTATGTGAAACACAAAATATTTTTGTAAACATGGTGTGTGAAGCTTTAGGAGTGAGGGGAAATATACATCGCGATCTTGGTTTTTCACAAAAATTAGCATATACAGGGTGAGTCATTTTAGTCTATGGATCCGAATATCTTCCAAATTACGGTATCTACAAAAAAATGGTTTAGATAAAAGTTGACCAGGACAGAGGGGGTCATTCAATTGTACCATTGGTTTTGACCTTGAGGTCAATTTTGAAGGTTACTTCAAGGTCACGATGGTTTTTTCTAATGGGACACCCTATTTTTGACTGCGGATTTCGAAAGAGCGGAAAATTTTACATCAAACTTGTCTTATGAAAAAATTGTTTTTGCGACCTTGGAAAGGTCAAAAATGAAGGTGAAATGTCTGAAAAACGATCTGGTGTACTTTTTCTGAAATGACGTGGTTTTCTGGGTAACACAAATGTGCATAATGCTTAAACAAAGTCAATGAATTGTAAAAGTGTAAATCACTTTAACTAGCTTGACTAAAACTAATATAATATCAACAATCTCATTAGGACTATAATCAGCCATTCTGGAAAGGTAACTTGTGAATGTAATTACCTACATACCCTGTATGTATGTTTGGAATTTTTAAATTTAAGCAACTTTAAATAGTAAATTTTTCAATTATGCAGAAGTGAGTAAGAAAGAAAAGGAATAAAACTCTATTATTATAACAATAATTATAAATCTTAAATCAAACGTAATTGTTTAGTTTTTTTCAATCGTTGATTATTAGCATTAGGTATCGGATACCTTACGTCCGCTTCTCCCGTAGTAGAAATGGATTTCCATTTATCCTTGATATGACCTTGATATGACCTTCAAAAGGTCAGGTCGAAAAACTAAAAAATCCCTATGCTCATGTAAAAAGTGCCATTGTTTAAGAGCCCATTGTCAAGAAACAGGTTCTGCGGTCAAAAATAGGGTTTACTGATCAAAAAATGCGTTATGAGCCTCAAACAACCTTGAAAATTGACCTCAAGGTCAAGCTAGTTAAAGTGATTTACACTTTTACAATTCATTGACTTTGTTTAAGCATTATGCACATTTGTGTTACCCAGAAAACCACGTCATTTCAGAAAAAGTACAGCAGATCGTTTTTCAGACATTTCACCTTCATTTTTGACCTTTCCAAGGTCGCAAAAACAATTTTTTCATAAGACAAGTTTGATGTAAAATTTTCCGCTCTTTCGAAATCCGCAGTCAAAAATAGGGTGTCCCATTAGAAAAAACCATCGTGACCTTGAAGTAACCTTCAAAATTGACCTCAAGGTCAAAACCAATGGTACAATTGAATGACCCCCTCTGTCCTGGTCAACTTTTATCTAAACCATTTTTTTGTAGATACCGTAATTTGGAAGATATTCGGATCCATAGACTAAAATGACTCACCCTGTATATAACATTATATATATAAACTCAGATATATCCCATATAGCACAAATCTCTCTAAGACTTCTTAAAGAGTTCCAAAAGAGTTCCCAAGTCCTCCAGAACACTTTTAGAATTCTTTAAGAAGTCTTTTAGAGATTTGTGCTATATGGGATCTTCACATTGTGTACGGCCGCGCGGCGTGATTTTGATCAAGGCATTGCTACGTTTTGAGATTGTATTCTGTAAACAAAAATAATGTCTGCAGTAATGTGTTCTATTTACTTCTACAATATATCTGATTGTTGCACGAAAGGTTGCAAAGGTAGAAAAGACGCAAAAATAAGATACAATTAGAATGAAGACAATACCATGCTTCTACTTTCTTGGTTTGATCATATCCGTTACAATCCTCTTTATCCTTAAGTTTCAACCTTACGAAAATAGGTTCTGTCCAGGTGCTCTTACGTCCATGAGTCTTTCGAGTTAGCATTACCGCTTCTAGAACCTGGCAACTCTGTTGCAAGGTGTGATCACGTAGCCCGTTTTCTTTCGTGTGTAGAAAGCGCGACGCGCATGCGCGCGCGTGCGCTAGCCAACGCAATCTAGTCACATCGTCTGCGGCTATTTCTTCTCTATTATCACGCGTGATAACTCGGGACGCGATAAAACGAATAATGTGCACACAATAACTGTCCGGCACGGACAGCGCATTCACATTCGCATCGATTCGTCTCCACAGCGCAACACGAATGGGAAGGCCAATAGCCAGTGGCAGCGAATTGCTATTTAACTATTACTGTGCATACGTACAACATATGCGGGTGCAGCACATAGATATACGCGTTGTCGAGCGCGATCAGGCCGCCACGTTCGGCGGCAGATCGCGACGAAGTTTGCGTAGAGTCGGTCGAAGTGTTCGCGGCGAGACGCGCAATGTCCTCGAGACAGTTTCTGCGGCCGCTGAGCTGTCGTTTCACGGATTGCTTGCGCACTTGGTCGAGTAGGCTGCATTATGCCACCCAGGATCTTGAACCTGATATCTGCCGGCAGCACCAGCTGCGCGACGACGGCAGGTAAATCGACCAAGCGCCCCTCTGATGCCTGTTTCAACCATCATTAACCTTAACATTAACCTAACGACATGAACCTTAACCTAAGATTCTTACTCTGAAAGAATAGCGACAAAAGCGCCTCTAACGCCTCTGTTTTTATCAATGTTAATTGAATTTTAATCTGAGTTTATAAGTTTATCTGACGAAAATTTAAACTTAGATTAAAGTTTCATTGACGGTAGAAATGGTCATTAAGGCTGATTTTTCAATAACATTTTGAATTTAAGTTTGAGTTTAAACTCTGTTAAAAAACACATCAAATACATTGTTAGAACAGAGCTTAAATCTAAGTTCAAACTACTATTTAAGAATTGATTCTAATGTGTTTACAAGCTCAGAAGATTTGTAAGACCTTAACATTTAGAGACATTTTATCGATAAAAGAGAGTTCAGAATAAGTGTTCAGAGGCCAATTTTTTAAGAGTAGTTTATGCTGTTAGTTCCCATCGAGTAAATATTTACTAATTTTTGGGTATTTTTTCTTCAAAGTAGAAACGACATAATTCCGATATATACGGCCTTGTGCTTCAATAGCGTACTATTCTTGCATCACTTTCTTTGTGTTAAATTTAACTTTCTTCTTATGTGCTCAAAGACTGAATCGTGTTTTCCGGCAGTGTAATTGACTAATTAAGATATTGTATGTTACGATAGTTCGATCGATGTTTCATTATACATAAAACAAAAATTTAATTTACTTACTGCAAATAAAGTCGAACCAATTTTCTCTTTAATAAAGTTTTATAATATTTTTGTAGAGAGAATAAAAATTCTCTTCCTTTGAGTACATGTTAATGAAATTTTTTAGAATTTGTGATAAATATATTTATTACTACTATTACCAAAAAGATACATATTGAAAACAAACATTATTTAAGAGAAGGGAAAGGAGTAATCGCTTCTTTTAGCAATAGAATTGCATTTTTCTGCATGTACAATCAGCAAATAATACGTAGTCGTAGCTCGTGATTCAATATAAACTTTAAACTATAAACTTTGATCTAGTCGAGGCGAGAGAATAGAAACGTTCGCCAATCGATTCTGACAGTCCACGTCGCGAACTTTGCTCCTATTGCAATATGGTGGGGATTCTAATATTCCGTTGAATCGATTTCTACGATCGTCCGGGGACAGGTTCCGCTTGCGTTTTCAAAGCGCATAATCAAACGCGATATATCTCGTGGTTCGATAATCGCGCGACTACGCGAACCATTACGCGTGCGCCGAGTTGTGCCTCCTCGCAGGTGCGTACGTAGGAATCTGTGCCCGTGGGACAAGTAGTAATTATGAAGTAATGAGCAAAAATATAAACTGGAAACTTTCATCTCATGGCAATATCGCTTGATAAAGATTATCGCAAAAATTTCGCGTGCCGCAAAAAAAGTTTGCGAATCATGTACAATGAAACCGATCACATACGCACACATACATGCATCTACACATGCACACATATATGTATACGCTATTAAATATCAACTATAAAATTTAAATTTAAATAGCACACAATGCCAATAGCTTTCTACGAAATTTACACAATAATCGATTTTGATTTCATCAGCAAATTCTAGTTTGAAAACCCGCTTTATATATTCGCAATATTTGCGTTAAAGTTATCTTATACATATATTTAACTTTCTAACGAAAGAGGAATGAGTAAGGGAGGTGTAAAATTGTACGTAAAAATATCTAAGAACTCTGTGAAGAGAGTTTTAATAAAAATTTGATAAAAAACCTAACAAAAAGAATTCGTTGTAAAAGGATCGTATGAAAATATTTATAAGCATTTTATTGTGTCATCATAGTTGCTTACGCATATATTTAATTTTCTAACAAAAAATAAATGAATAATAATAAGAGAAATAAAAGACACACGTCACCTCAGTTGTTTCAAGGCAACGGGCGCTCCTTCCGTTATTTACGTCTATATTGCAGACCGTAATGAGTCGGATATACCGGAGTGCCACGCCGGCAAATACGGCGGCGCTCTTTAATTCTCCCCGCACCGCTCTTTGATCTCGCCGACACACCTACGTCATATCGCGTAACCGTTGCGTTCTCTACCCTACCGACGTGCCGTTGGCCTTGTCTTCACCCGCCTGTCCCTCCACTGCTGCTCACCACCCGGCGTTCGTTCGCAGGACTCAAGGCAGTAGTCAGCCTGTGCGCAGCAAGAGCAAAACATCGATCATGTCGAGCTTGGAGCGCGATCAGCTGGGCCAGCGGGGTATCGGCGACGCGCCCTGCGTTGGCCTTCTACGTGGCCTCGACCACATCAGGGACCCACAATTCAACAAGGTAAGTCCGCCAAGTAATCTGTCACACTGTAATTAAATAATGCCTGTGCGATTTCGCTCAACGCGAAATAGTCGCGTTTGACATTTGATACTTGATGCGACCTGGCGCAAAGAGTCGACTGCAGAATGAACGAAGTAGAAGAAACAGCGAGAGAAAGAGGATATTTTATTTCATATATATATATATATATATATATATATATATATATATATAT